TGTTTTTTGGGGCTGCAGGTAGGCTGAGTCAGTGACATGGTGGGAATGTTAATAAGGCAAATTTGGTGTCATCCCACCATCCCATGCTGCCAGCAGTGGGTAGGAATTTGTATCATCTGACAGTGGGCGAGATCCTTCTGTTTCAAGTCCTTTCCAGATGGTGGGGACCACATTCAGTCAGTCCTTGGAGGATCTGAGGTTAGGTTATCCTTTGATCCAGGGACATAGACACAGGGGAATGGTCGGCCTTGCTGCCGGGAGAGTAGGTGGGGATGCACTGAAACCAGATGAACGATGCTCAACCTGGCAGCGTGCCTTGAGGAGTGAAGCTGGTTGCTCAGGGGAAGCTGTGTCTGGTTGTGCCTCTGTTCTCAGGAAAGACGTATTCGCTGACTTACACGCGCGTCCAAGTCGAAGATGCAGCAGAGATCAAATTTGTAGCAGAAAAGGCAGAATCTCGTGCCCATCTTACTGTAAAAGGTAATTATGCTTTTCATGCCAACACTGCTTAAACTATCTCATGTTACAAAGCAATCAACTTCCATCACTTTAATGTGAAGAAGGTTAAACGACACCTAGAGCTTTCAGGGAAAGAAAAACTCCTACCTGCCTTACTGCACGTGAAATATCAGCCTGGGAATTTACTTTTGCTAAATAACACAGTTTATTTTCTCAGGAGGTTGGTTTTTATACCTTCAGGCATTAAAAGTCACGTTTGAATTTTGAGGGACAAAAAGCTGCAGCTTGATTTTTCTCCTGAATTTTCTTTCTGGTATATGTTTAAAAAGAATGCAGCATTTTTTTGTGTGTTTAACTTAAGCAGTGTGATAGAGACAGAGAGAAGGAAGACATTTGAATGAACACACCGATGAGGAGCTTCGGAAATCTGAGCTCCATCCCTGGCTTTGCCATAGCACTGCTGCGTGGTGTTGAGTAAATTACCTATTATCTCTGCAGTTCAGCCACTTAAGTGGTAAAATAGGGATAAAAAAGTTTTCCTTTAATTAGCTCTTTACTTGCTGTGTGTTAGTTGAGTGTTTAGTGTAGTGGGGATTCCTGTCATCATCCATGAACTGAACATAAAAGAAATAATACTAATGAGTTTTTAATTGGCACCTTTCATGGAAACTGTACTGATTATTCCATCTTTTTTTACTCCTTTTAGAGCTGCCTGTAAAAATTGTGAAGCCTTTGCGAGATAAGATTGCTCTTGAAAAACACCGGGGGTTCCTGGAGTGCCAGGTGTCTCGTGCCAACGCCGAAGTTAGATGGTATAAAAAGGACGTTGAAATTCACCCTAGTGACAAATACGAAATTGTGAGCGATGGTGTCTATCGGAAACTCATCATCAACGATGCAGATTATGAAGATGAGGACACGTACACTTGTGATGCCTTTGATGACAAAAGCAGTGCTAATTTCTTTGTTGAAGGTAGTAAACCATTTTTTCCCCTCCAGGATGTATTGGAAGGAGGATTTAAAAAGTTCTTGCCATTTACTTTGAAAACACAATATCACTTTAAAAGTATTTTAATTCTGTGTTGATTTCTTCTTGAAGTCACTTGATACTGCTTCCTTTTAAGATTATAAGTGCAGGAACATCCTGTAAAATGAATATATGGTAAATTCTCCTAAGGAAAGTGATGAAATTCCTGGTCCAGAGAAGCTGATCAGATGTGCTGGACAAAGTTAGTTGTTCAGAGAAAAGTTACTGTAGCTAATCAAAGTCTTTCCTATTATCAACATCTGCATTTCAATGAGCCTTCTTTTCCATTTTATAGTGCCGAGTGTTCGATATCAGGATAGGAAGGTGGCTTTAGAAATAGCACTGGGAAGCAGGAGATCTGGATACTCTTGAAGCAGTGTCACAGTCTCGCTGTCTGACCTGTGACCAGCAATATATGTTTATTTTTATGGGGGGAAAAAAAAAAAAAGGATGTTTTAATGTCCTTTGAGATAATAGGTGCAGTATTAAAGTGCAGAAAAGATGGCATGTGTGTACAGGATGCTAATGACAAAGTTCTTTGACTCCTAAATCCCTGCTTTCTTGTTCCATCCTTCACCCAGAGCAATCCATTAATATTGTAAAGGAGTTGTGTGATGAGGATGTGACTGAGCCTGAAGAAGCCAATTTTGAATGTGAGATATCCATTCCGTCCGTGAAACCGCCCAAATGGTTTCTCCGCGGAGCAGCCTTACAGGCGGGCAGAAACATTATCATGCAGCAAGAAGGCACCATCCACCGGCTGACAATAGTGAAAACCAGTGCTGATATGACAGGCACTGTTCAGTTCTCCATTGGCAAATCAAAATCCACAGCAAACCTGCTTGTCAGAGGTAATGCGATATGGCCTGGCTTGAATTAGATCACGAGACATCATCGTAGCCCCTGGAAAATAATTTTTCATGGATACTGCCTAATGTGCAGGCTCCACTGGCTGCGGTCTTGGAAACATAGGTGTGCCTGGAAGATCTGCTTAGTTCCCAGTTACAAGTTGTTGGGTGCAGCGCTGGATGCGCTAAATGAGACAGCAATCTCTCAGGAAAGGATCCAATTAAATGAGTTTGGAGTGCCTGATATTCAAATCTATTTAGCTAAGACTGTTTTAGTTTTTGTTCTTGACTTTACCAAAGAGGACAAAACAGATGCAATTTGCCAGGAGACTTTATTTTGTCTCATTTCTGAACCAGAGAAGTTTGATAGCTCATTTACTTAATCCACTTTGTCATTGATTTGATCTGGGACGAAGCTTCAAGGCTTTTTATCTTCCACTGTCACCATAGTAAATATCTCCAGTCCCACCCTGAAGTCTTTGTTTTGTCTTTACTTTCATAAAGCCCTCAATCAGAGAGCAATTCAGTAAACACTGAAACAAGACTGGACCATGCGTTTGGTACTTAATATACAGTATTATCTTATAGAAACCAGCACTCCCTACAGATCCTCACGTTGTTTTAGCTTCAGAGCAAACCAGCTCTGTAACAGGAATCTGTAGCATTGTCTGAGCAATTCACAAAACAGTTGTGAATGACATACCTGAAATTAATTGGCATGAAATGGAAATTAGAAACTTTCCTCTTCTTCAGATTGTATGATAAGACAAGGGGTGATGGCTTTAAACTAAAAGAGGGAAGATTTAGACTAGATAGAAGGAAGAAAGTTCTTATGTGAGGGTAGTGAAACACTGGCCCAGGTTGCCCAGAGAGGTGGTAGATGCCCCATCTCAGGAAACATTCGAGGTCAGGTTGGACGGGGCTCTGAGCAACCTGATGTAGTTGAAGATGTCCCTGCTCATGGCAGGGGGGGTGGACTAGATGACTTTAAAGGTCCCTCCCAACCCAAATCATTCTATAATTCTTTCCCAACCCTGCTTTGCAGATTACCACATACAGATCACCAGGAAGATGGAGGACAAGACAGCCCTGGAGCGTCATTCGGTCATCCTGTCTTGTGACTTCAGGCCTTCTCCAAAGATTGTGAAGTGGTTCAAGGGCCACACTCCCATTGAGCCCTCCGAGAAATACAAAATCAAACGGGAGCAGCATTCAGCAGAGCTCAAGATTTTGAAGGTGAAGCCTGAAGATGCTGGTGTGTACAAGTGCAGGGCTGGAAACGCAGAAACCGAAGCCACGCTGATCGTTGAAGGTACGAGCGGTTTGCAGCAGGGGGGCTGGCCTGTTACGTAGATATAAGGAAGTAATTTTTTATGCTGAGGGTGATAAAACCCTGGCCCAGGTTGCCCAGAGAGGTGGTGGATGTCCCATCCCTGGAAACATTCCAGGTCAGGTTGGATGGGGCTCTGAGCAACCTGATTGAGTTGAAGGTGTCCCTGCCCATGGCAGGGGGGTGGGACTAGATGGCCTTTAAAGGTCCCTTCCAACCCAAACCATTCTGTGATTCTGTGATACCTTTATGGTTCATCACTTCACTCTAGGTTTCTTTTCTTGAGTTAAGGTAGATTCCCACAGTTGTCTTCTGCTAATTTTGTGTAAATGCGATATCTTAAGTGAACCGACTGTATTATGCACAGTGCTGATATTCTGTGATACTGAAATCCACCACTTGCCGTGAAGTAGGTAATGCATGTGGAAGGGCTCCATCTGGGTAAGGCAGAAATTCATCTGTCTTTCTCAAGGCACATTATTTTCCGTTTCATCTGAGGAATTTGGACTCTGGTACTTCTTGCTAAAAATGTTCATTATGTTAAACTGCCACAGGCCTCTCATTCTGGTGATCCTGGATGTGGTTTTCATTTCCTGACCTCCGTGTCAGCTTTTATATCTGCAATACGTTTGTTTTTCATGATGGTGATCTACCTCATCCTGGTGTGGCACTATTTTTAGCCAATTCTTCACCTCTGGTGAAACCATAAGACAATCACTTTCAGCAAGACTTGGAGGTGAAACACTGAATCGTTTGCAGAAGCCAGTCCTTAAAAACCAGCATTTCATGAGTGGAGAAACTGCAAAGAGAAACCTCTGGCCAATGACTGGGAAAGAAAATAATTCGGTTCCTGTTGCTTCCTAAAACTGAGCAAGTTCGTTAATCTCTTTGTACCCGCTGTTTGTGACCAAATGCATTGTCTTCATCTCATCCTCCGTGTTTCCCTGGTGGTCAGTCAGGGATAATTTAGTTGTAAAGTGTACGTGTATGTGCAGTGACAAGCACACAGGGATTGGAGCTCTGTGGGATACTTAGGCATCACTATAATGTCATTACCAGTTTAGAAAGAATTACTTATTTTTAAATTAAAAAGGGAAAAAAAAAAAGCAAAACAGTTTTATATCTAAAAAGAAAATTGAGGGCTCTCGACAATGTAGTCTTTTTAAGAGACGTGTTTTTGTTGGGCTACGTGCAGAACCAAGTAAATGAAATGTAAAGACCCATGGTGTACAGGAGACCAGACTAAACCATCTAATAAACTCTATGAAATCTATTTGTGGTAACAGTACTGATTTATGGTAACAGTCGTGATGTGCCCCTTGGTTTCCTACAGCCCGCAACGTAGAAGTACTCAAACACCTACAGGACGTGGAAATTGAAGAAGAAAGTTCCGCTGTCTTCTCCTGCGAGCTGTCCCACGACGATGAGGATGTGGAATGGTTCCTCAACGGCACCCTCCTTTACACCAACAATTTCAATGACATCAGGAATGTTGGCAATTGCTACGTGCTGACGATGAAGCAGGTCAAGCCTGAGGATGCTGGCACAGTGACGATGAAGTCAGACAAGGTGTCAGAGAGCGCGCGTCTGAAGGTGATAGGTGCGTCGTGATCACACCCTCCTGAATCTAAATTAGAGACGCAAAGGAGCTATTATTTACCATACCCAAGCGGCAATCCTGCTCGTAAGCTTCACCTCTCTGGGGCTGAGTAATAGGCGTGCAGGGGCTTTCTCCTAGTGTGAGTTTCTACTGTAGCTGATAATTTTTCTAAGGAAGATTGTTTTGGTGTCCTGCCAAAACTTCCCATAGCTCTTTATCATCCTTCTACCTATCTGGATAGTCTCAAGAGCAATTTCCTTTACATCTAGGCTTCTTCAATAGTGTGTAGTCTATAAACTGTTGTTTCTAACGACTTTTGTCTGCGGGGACTTGAGCTTCAGTGTACCTCCATGGGTAGGGCACACCTTTAGTACGTCAGTTCTGGAGTTGGGCTGAATCAGCAAAGAGAAGGCAGTTTGCTGCTGTCCTTCATACTTCTTAAAGTTTGGTCACACAACTGAGTTGCTGTAGTTTAACATGTTCTTGTCCACTCTTGGCAAGTTTGGGGACACCAAGCTGAGTGGTGCGGTTGACGTGCCTGAGGGATGGGATGCCCTCCAGAGGGACCTGGAAAGGCTCGAGAAGTGGGCCCATGTGAAACTCATGAGGTTCAACAAGGGCTGAGCGTAGGGTCCTGCATGTTGGTCATGGCAACCTGAAGTATCAGTACAGGCTGGGGGATGGATGAGCAGCTTTGCTGGGAAGGACTTGGGGATACTGGTGGATGAAAAGCTGGAGATGAGCTGGCAATGTGCGCTCACAGCCCAGAAAGCCACCCACATCCTGGTCTGCATCAAAAGCAGCGTGGGCAGCAGGGCGAGGGAGGGGATTCTGCCCCTCTGCTCCACTCTGGTGAGATCCCTCTGCAGTGCTGCATCCAGCTCTGGAGCCCTCAGCACAGGAAAGACGTGGACCTATTGGAGCAGGTCCAGAGGAGGGCCACAAAGATGATCAGAGGGCTGGAGTACCCCTCCTATGAGGACAGGCTGAGAGAGTTGGGGTTGTTCAGCCTGGAGAAGAGAAGGCTCCAGGGAGACCTTATTGCAGCTTTTCAGCACTTAAAGAGGGCTTTTAGGAAAAATGGGGAGAAACTTTTTAGTGGGGCCTGTTGTGATAGGACAAGGGGTAATGGCTTTAAACCAAAGGAGGGAAGATTCAGACTAGATATGAGGAAGAAATTTTTCACTGTGAGGGTGGTGAAACACTGGCCCAGGTTGCCCAGAGAGGGGGTTGATGCCCCATCCCTGGAAATATTCAAGGCCAGGGCAGATGAGGCTCAGAGCAACCTGCTCTAGTTGACAATGTTCCTGCTTATTGGAGAGGGGTTGGACTAGATGGCCTTTAAAGGTCCCTTCCAACCCAAACTGTTCTCTGATTCTCTGATCAGCTAAGCCCCAGTAAGTTATGTGGGTTATTCTAGGCATGTTAGGAACTTGAGGTAAAGCTCTCACCAAAATTTCAAAATCAAATTTTCTTTAGCAACGCACCCGTAGATGCATGCTCAGGTAAATCATAGTGATTTGTGATCCTAAATTAACTCGTTCATGTATCTGGAAATATCGGTGGAAAATGTTCTGAGCCGTTCTCTCTGAAAGTGAGTCTCACATCCTCCATAGCCTCTTGGAGAATCATCTCTCTGATTTCCTTTGGATTTTGCCTCCTGATCATGACTAATTTATTCTTCCCAGAGTATCTGAATAATTTAACTGTTTTACTCTATCCACTCAGAGAGTCTGAAGGATTTTCTTTTCTGTCTTTCTTTTATATCTGGTCAAAAATTGCCACTGCATAAATATCTTCTGTGTCAAATATTTTTAAATTAGGTAAAGGGAATCAATAAAACAAAGAGGCAGGAGCAAAAATGTTTAGGAGAGTGAGGACAAAGTGTATCATATCTTTTTATTGCTGCTTCTACAGCATGAATCCTGCTTCACGGAAAGGCAGTGCCAGCTCTCTGGCTGTAGAAGACCTACATCCCAATTACTTCTCTTCACACATTTTTCCTTTCAACCACCTGACCCCTTTCCACTTGTAGACTGCTGCAATGAGAAAGGACGTTCCCAGAGAATGTTTTCTCCTCCTCCATGATGCAGACAAGTTCTTCCTTAAATCTAGTCTATCTTGTTGCGTAGCTATTCCGTAGAAGTGTGAAGCTGTCCCCTTGGCCTTCACTAGGGCCCTACATCCCTGCTCCAAGCCCCGTTCCCCGTGATGGGATCTCCTGTGATCCCCAACAGATGCCCCAATGCAGAGAAGGAAGGAGTCCTTGCGATCTCATAGCTGCGCAGTCAAAAGAGAGATGAAGATGACAGCACTGAATGTCACTACCCGTCCACAGCAATGCAGGCTGCCTCTCTCCCTCCCTGCACCCTCGTATTGAACAATTCTGATTTCCCTAAAACTCATTCCAGTCATGAGGTCTGAGACTGCTTTAGGTTCTGCATCGGTGTCAGCAGTGTTGTGCAGGGTTTACTTAAGCTCTCTTTAAATATTTAGTAGCAACTGAAAATGTCTCGACTTAAATATCCAGGTGGTTCTCTGTTTTGCCCCTTAACCTTCAGAGAAGCCTGCTGTCTTCATGAAGTCCTTGGACGATGTTTTTGGTGAGGAGCGAGGTGTGATTAAACTGGAATGCGAAGTTTCCAAAGAGAAGGTCAAACCTGTTTGGAAAAAGGATGGTGTGAAGCTCACTTCTGGTAACAAGTATGAGGAGATACAGTCTGGCAAGACCCTGTGCCTCCTTATCCATGACCTTGAAAAGGCAGATGCAGGTTTGTACACCTGTGATATTGGAACTGATGTTGCCAAGTCAAAGGTCAGCGTTCAGGGTAAGTGTTGTTGACGATGGTCAGTCAAGGGGTGCTGCAAATATGGGTGGGCTTGGTCACTTTGTCTCACACCTATTCCTCCATAAGCCTCACAGAACACGGTGATGTCTGAACAATCCCCGTTACTCTTTGGTGTAGGTAGATCTGGTGTTTCAGTGAAAATCATGTGAGAATGTAGTGCCAATGTGTCCTTCCCAAACAGCCCTAAGGTGCAGAAATCCTCCAGGAAGAGCAAATAATTTCTCAAAAACAACAACAAAACAAACAAAAAGAAAGAACACAAACCCCAAAACCCAAGCAGCTCGTGTTTCGCATTTTTGAGCTGTTAATTCAGAGTCTGTTGTGGTAACACAAAAGTAGGACAACACTGACTATTGAAAATCCGTCAGTTCAACCTGTCCTCTATATTCCTTGTGGCTGCTTGAAGAACAGAGAATTGTTCCTGGCTTTCAAACTCATGTTGATAATGAGACATATTTTGAATTTGTCTGATTTGAATACCAGCAGGAGTAGGATGGTAACAAGTTAACAATCACAAACATCCCATTTCTCATATCAGCATGGAGAAAAACCTCACGCTGCGTCCCAGAGGCTTTCTGTCTGACAGCTTTTCTCCCCTCTAGCTCACTGAATCTTGACTGTTCTCCACCGGCTGAGCTGTTCTTCATGCAGTCCTTCCAGAGAAAAGCCTGGAGATTCATGTGTCCCTCTTTCTCTAGCTTTGTGCTGATTCTGAGTGGATAACATCTTGGAAATCCTTCCCATGTCAAATATGCCTGTAAGGAACGCAGCGCTGTGCTGCCAGTCCTACAGATAAACCAGTCTCATAAGCTAAAAATGTCAATAGTACTACTCATTTTAATCATAAAAAACTTTTCTCCTTGTATTAACCTACTTTTTGTCTTCCAGAGCTGAACATTGGCATCACCAAACGGTTGAAGAACACTGAAATCCAGGAGGGAGAAGATTGCACTTTTGAGTGTATTTTGTCCCATGAAAGCATTGACGACTTCAACTGGACGCTGAACGGGAGCAAAGTGGAAAGTGGTGGGCGATTTAAAGCCTTTAACATGGGTCGGAAATACACGCTCAATATCAAAAATGTGATTCCTGATGATGCTGGGGAAGTCATTTTCACTGCCCGTGGTCTAACCTCTAAGGCTTCTCTGGTTGTGAAAGGTAATGAGATCAGAAAGGTTCTGAGGTTTGATTTCTTGGGTGTCTTTTCATAAGGTGTATCAGTAAACCATGAAGGCAAACTCTTGTTACGATCAAAGTGAAGAGCAGCCTTCTTTGTCAGCTTTGAAGCACTGAGAATTTTTCTTAAAAACAAGTGAAAGGCTGAAACTTTTTATAGATATTTAAGAATTGCAGAATACACTGGGTAGTGCAATTGTACAGACAATTGCTACCCAGACCGTGCAGCTGAGATAAATCACCCACGGCTCCCTGGGTAGTCAGTGGAGAGAAGCAATAGGTGGTTTTCCAGACATGGTTCACCATCCAGTTAGTCCTATTTAGGACAAAATAAATTGTTTCTTGAAGTCTATTGCCTGCAGTTAGCAGATCACTGTTGGCTGTAGAGTGGCCCTGGACTGAGTTCCTCTGCTACATCCCTCCATAGCACAGGTGTCTATATTTAGTGAGACAGATTCCACCCTAAGTGCACACCTACAGTAACTTCGGTGACGGCAGAATGACATCCCCTGAAATGGATGTCCTCAGTTCCTGTAAGCAATCATTAATATCTACTGAGAGCCCATAATTGCGATTAACAAGTACTAAAGAGCAAGACTGCTTTTCCCCTCCCTTCCCTAACATAGTATGAATCATTCATTAGGGAATGTGAAAACGTGCTGAGTATTTGAATTGCAAAACCCCCAACCATATAGTGATCATGATTTTTATTCAAAGTTGTCTTTTTTCTTTTTTTCTTTTTTTTTTTTTTTTTTTCCCCTCCCCAACCTCTTTAGAAAAACCTACTGAGGTTACAAAACAGCTGGAGGATAAAACATCCGCGGCGGGGCAGGACATCAGCCTGAGCTGTGAATTGTCGAAACCTGATGTGAGCATCAGGTGGTACAAGGATGGCAAAGCCATCCGGAAAAGCCAGAAATATGACTTGCACCAAGAGGGAACACGGGCCATTCTGATCATCCATGACTCCACAGTGAAGGACAGCGGGGAGTACACCTGTGAGACGGAGGTCTCCAAAACGAAAGCCAGGATCACGGTGCAAGGTCAGCTGAAGCATGCGTGGGGGCTGGCATGTACAGGAGTCGGGGTAAATATCTACAGCCTGTGGGAGATGTTCTTCTCTTCTATCTCCCTAAACAGGATCGATTTTTAGTTATCAACAAATGTCATGGATTAAAAGCTTTTAAAAAACCCTGAAAAAACACCTTGTAGGTGCTGAAGAATCTTATGTGCTACATAACGAGCCAATAAAAATTGCCAGTTTGAATTAGTCTTTTTTGAATCTGGGTGATCAAAACTGTATGCGTTCTGCCAGATAAGATCTCACCAGCACCTGTACAATGACATTAAACTTTCCAGGTATCTTCTCGAAATGCTTTATCTGATACACCCTGTGACCATGAAGTGGACCTGGTGATCTTCTCAGATCCTTTCCACCTCTATATTCTGTTATTCTACAAGTGGGAGCAGAGGGGATTCAAGACCACTCTCTACGTACAGGACTTGTTTGAGTAACAGATCTCTCTCTGCCTCTCTATTTTATTTTATTTTTTCCTTCCAGAAAAACCTAATTATTTTGTCAAGGAACTTTCAGACCTGAAAGTCGATGAAAGCGGAACTGCAGTTTTTACGTGCCAGAGTGAGAAAGCTGCATCCTCTGTGGTCTGGAGGAAAGGCATAGCTGAACTCAGGGCTAGCAAGAAATACGAGATCACCCAGAAAGGACAAGTCCTGCAGCTGACCATAAATAACTTGGAGAAAAGTGATAGTGACACTTACACGTGCGACATTGGTGATGCCCAGTCCAGAGCCAAGCTAGTCGTGCAAGGTAGGCATGAGAGGAATGTGGTTGTACGTCCTGTTTCTCCATCAGGAAACATTATATGTGTAGGCAGACCTGTTTCTAAGCATACGGGTAGCAGATCCACTGATTTCTGGCTCTGTCTCGCTCATGAGGGACATGTTGGGGGGGTTGGACTAGATGATCTCCAGAGGTCCCTTCCAACCCCGACCATTCTGTGATTCTGTGATGTGGACAAAAATATAGCAACGTGGAGCTGGAGAGACAGAGCAGTTTGTCGGTGTGAAGCAATTACACCTGGAGTACTTTGTGTATGATTTAAAACCCCAAATGCTGATGTGGGGAGAGGCCGGTGTTCCTGCTGGATGTTTGATATGATTCAGAGTGCCTGTTATTAGACAGGGGAAAGATTATTCTGCCTCCAGGCTTTTCTCCGTGTCCCTTGATGTCTCTTTCCAGTAGCAGTTTCTACGAGGGGATGGGTGAATGAGTGGTCCAGGGGTCTTTAAGTCCCTCTGCACTTGAGAGAAGAAAGGTACAACCCAATCTCCACCTCAAGAGTACAACCCAGCAGCTTTTATTTGATGTTGTGGGCAGTAAATGAGCTGTGGTGGCCAATGGTGACAGCAGGGTCATGTTTGAGGTGAAGGAGTGATGTCTGGTGGTTACTGCTCCTCACAGTTCCCTCACTGGAGCCCTGACTGGGAGAAACCCTTGAGATGAAGTTGATGAAACAATGAAGAGAATAGGAGGATTGATTCAAGAAAAGTCAGTGTGCAGTGGCGGTTTCCCCTTACTAATTATTATAGTTAGTTGTTAAAGACGAGGGGGTAAAGCCAGACTCCTCCACTGCTGCTCGTCTGCCAGAGCAGCCCTGAGAAGCTGAGAAGTGAGCTTAATCCCCAGCGTGGCCTGAGGATCTGAGCTACCCGAATTCCCTGCGAGGTTTCCAACACCAACTTTTCTGAGTGTAAAAATACTCCTCTGTCACATCACAAAGCACAAGGAAAGAGTAAAAATTCCCTGTACTGGTATTGGAAGTAGGAGCAACGTCAGACATATCTTTGTATACAGTGATAACTGTAGTTTATTTATTTATTTAGATAGGTGTATATCTACTTATACCTGTACAGACAGCTTTTCAGGGCTGTTGTTTTGTTTCCTTTTCCTAAAGCTGCAGCCAGACACTCTCTCCGTTTCCCACTGTGTTTATGGTTGGAGTAAGCTCAAAGAAGGTGGGGGCTGGGTGGTCCTGTCCCATAGAAAGCAAGTCATATTTGCTCTAGAAAAACAGAGGGGTTGCCGGCGGGGGGGGAGATCATCTGCTTAGCGTTGTCTAGAGCCCGATGACGCTGTCAGAGCCGCATCCTTTCAGCCTTTCCAGGTAGTTCCATTTAAGAAAAACTTTTTAACACTGGATTTGCGTTGTACTGGCTACTTGTTCTTCTGTATGTGCTCTGGTGCTTTGAAGTTGTCTTCATCCTATATTGATGTGTGTCCTGTATATATATTATCTTCCCGTGAATGTTTTTTGTGTTCTGTAACAGTGGAATTATGTTTCAGTCTTCTGTATAGTGAACATATTTCTTTCTTGAAATACTCACATGGCAAATCTCAGAGTTTTCCATATCTATTTTCATGCTAGAAACTGAAGATTCCAGTAATTGATGTATCTATGTTCCTTTCAGGCCAGAAAGTGCTAATAACAGAAGACCTGGAAGATGTCACTGTGTTAGAAGGAGAATCTGCCATGTTCAAATGCAGAATCTCTCCCATAGACTATAGCAAAGTGCAGTGGTTTTTGGATAAAACCCCACTCCATACCAATGAACTTAATGAGATCCAGTCTCAGCCTGGTGGATATCACTTGCTAACCTTGAAAAAACTCACACTGAAGGACTCGGGGGTCATTACATTTGAAGCTGGTGATAAGAAAACATCTGCCAGTTTGGTTGTTAAAGGTAATTCAATCATAAAAACTGCAGGAGAGGAAAGAATGTGTACAAATAAGTATGGGTTAATGTGGGTAGGTGAAAAAAAGAACAAAAATGCTACAAATTTGGCCCCATCATATATATATGTGTGTGTGTATACGTTCAAGAATAGCATTACCTATATAATGGAGCTAGGGCTGGGGAAGGAACACTTTGTAATCCTGGACAACTCTCAGAGCGTTTATTGGACCTTAGATGGGAATGTTATACTGTAGCAATGGTACGTTGGACGTCTGGTCCAGTTTTCCTTGAGCTGAGCTGATAGGGTCATGACAAATGAGGAGAAATCAATTAGTTCAAGAAAAGAAAAACAGGAAGTGGAACCGATAAGTTTTTAATTTAATTTTTATTATTTGAAAGGCAACATTGTGTGTGCTCTCTGCTATTGATTGTTGACAATGATTTATTTTCTCTTGAAAAGTTAAACTGAGTTAAAACTGCAGTGTTAGTCTACTTCTATAGCGAGGGAATAAAATGAATGCCAAACAGCCCACGAATGCAGGATCAGAGAGGTGTTTTGTTACTGGAAACATAAATATTTCTCGTTGCCCAGAGATGTAAAACACAGTCTCCATTGTGTCAGGTGATATACTTATTCTTTTCAGAATCACCATGTTTCTTGCAAAGAACTTTTTTTTTTTTTTCAAAATTTGAAAATTTGCCCAAATTTTGCCATGCTACTGAAATGCAAACAGATTTTTTTTTTTTTTTTTTTTTTTCCCTGAAGGCAAATGAAAGGTCTTATTTGCAAAAGCCCGATTCCTTTTGGTAAAGCTAATACGTGGTGTTATGGAATCAAAACCAGGTTTTGGTCCCCTGATTGAACAGATTTTTATGAATGAAAAAGCATTAAGCCAGGAGGGGATAAGATCTACCTTGGCCAATTTAGCTATCGGTATCTAGCTTAGACTATAAGCTGCGTAGAAAGACAAGCACTTCCAGCGAGCAGTTCATCTTCTGTCTCTTAATGACTGATTTTGGAAGTGAATATCTGGTCTCTGGAGGTGTCTATCATCTTAGCCCAGAGAAAAGGAGGCTCAGGGGTGACCTTATCCCTCTCAACAGCTGCCTGAGAGGAGGGTGTAGCAAGGTGGGGGTTGGCCTCTTCTCCCAAGTAACAGGCAATAAGACAAGAGGAAACAGCCTCAGGTTGCACCAGGGGAGGTTTAGATTGGATATTGGCAAAAATTTCTTCTCCAAAAGGGTTGTCAAGCACTGGAGCAGGCTGCCCAGGGCAGTGGTGGAATCGCCATCCCTGGAGGTATTTCAAAGATGTGTAGACGTGGTGCTGAGGGACATGGTTTAGTGGTGGTTTTGGCAGTGTTCAGTTGATGGTTGAACCTGATCATCTTAAAGGTTCCTTCCAACCTAGATGATTCTATAATCTCCCAGCAGTTATAGAGACACCCTGTGTAACCAGTCTGCACTCTCTGCCTGGTTTTTAGATGACTCATACTGATAAGATGAGACCTGCATTAGATGGCTGGCTTTGAGGAACCTGTATTGAATCTCCCTTCATGCAGAATGACTTTTTTCCCATTCAGTTAGAAGGTTCAAACTAATCAGCTCACACGGAAAAGGGCCTAGGAAAATTGTGTCTCCATCTTGTTTGTATTTAGTGAGATTCAAGAGATATCTTATGTTCTTCAGCAGGGATATTGTCTTCTCAGTTTCTCCCAGATGGTGTTAGATATTTACTAAACAACTTTTTATGGCATGACTGGTGCCTTCCTCGGGGCTTTATAGTCATGAACACCAAATGATTTGTTACTAACCTTGACCTGTAATTTTGATAGAAGTAATCTTGGATGTAAAGCTCACAGATTACTTGTGATCTGAAAATCCGCACCTCTTCTGAAACATCTCAGATGGTTTTTATGTGATTCTAGAGAAGCCCTGCATCTTTACAAAGGAGCTGGTTGATACTGAAGTCACTGAGGGAGAGGATGTGATCCTTCACTGTGAAACCTCCAAATCAGACAGCCCTGTAAAGTGGTGCAAAGATGGGAGGAGCCTTAGGAATTCTTCCAAGTGTAACATCAGCCGGTCGGGATTCGAAGCCAAGCTTGTCATTCGCAGGGCAGAAGAAAGAGACAGTGGCAGATATGAGTGTGAGGCTGGAGCAGCTAAAAGTAGTGCGATTATTACTGTCAAGGGTAAGAACATTTGGAGTGATGGTTTGGGTCCTAACTCGTCCTCTAACACTGAGGTCAGAGTAATAAATTGAAATGATAAAAACGTGAAACTATACTGAAAAGGAACCTCATGTCTTTGCACTGCAGTGCAGGAGAGGTTCTCATCAAGTCATCTGGGACAGCACCCAGACCGGTGACAGGATGTGAAATAGGAAAATCCTTCATCTTACCGTGTAAGTGCCCAAGCTCCTGGAGCAGAGAGCGATGGGTCAGTAGAGAAGAATGGGCATCTCTGTAGGAGATCCACCCAGCCTAAGACGTAATCCAGATACAGGATGAATCACCTTCTGAAGCTGTCTCCACTGATGGCTCTCTCCAAGGAGGGAGCTTATACACCCACGTTTGTCTGGGTGATTGCTTTAGGCAGCCAGATTTATTGAGAATAGTGCATCCGAAGTTTTCATTCCAAAGACTGGGAGATTCCAAAGGCAGGAGGTGCTATCTGAAGGGCTGTTGTCTGGAGACGTTGTTGTCTGAGCTGGAGAAAACATTCTCTTCTTAGACACGAGACTTTAATGTACTTCCATGTTGAGTCTGAGCCATCTCAGAACCAGGCTCACCTGCTACTCACGTTATGATTGCTCCAGCCTGTCTTGAGTCCCTGCTCCAGCCTGAGGCTGAGGAGGACCTTGGTTCTTGTGAATAAAATTGCTCATTCACATGGGCAGGTTTGAGCAGATAGAGGGAGGCTGTTAATGGCCGGGCCGGGTTTAACCTGACCGGTGGCTATCCTGCAAGCGGCTCTTTTTAACATGCTCTGGAGGGGCTGATCCAAAGCTGCACCTGGATTAGAGAAGTCAGGGTGAACAAAGAGCATTTGGATTGTTGGAATAGTCGACCTGAACCTCAGAGCATGAAAAGGGAAGGCAAGATGCTCTCAGTAGTTATCTAGAGCACAAAGAAAC